AGTTAGAATGACTTTTCAAAGTATTATTACACCCCAAGGGAATGCAAGAAAGCCATTAGCTGTGACCAGACACAAGTTGAGGACTGTGTTTTGTGTGTGGTGCTTGTTGGAAATCTTTAACCAGGGCCCCTTCCCTTCTTATTCATCAGAAGGTTCACACTGGGGAAAGGCCTTATGAGTGCAGTGAATGTGGGAAATGCTTTATACAAAGATCAGCCCTTCTACAACACTGTCCAGTTCTTTCTGCAGAAAAGCCATATGAGGGCAATAAATGTGGAAAAACTTACATGAGTAGCTCTGCCTTTTTCAACTTTGAATTGTTCAGAATGGAGGTAGCCTTTCTCAGTGCAGGGAAATTGGGAACATTTTCACAATGAGCTCTGCCCTGTGTTATTATCAGAGAGTTCACAGAGGAGATAGGCTTTGAGAGTGCATTGAATGTGGGAAATCCCTTTTCTGTCTCAGTCACCTCCTTTATCATCAGAGAGTTCACCCTGGCAAATGGTCTTAGGCCTATAGTGAATGTGGGAAAGTCTTTTCCCTGTGTCAGTAATTTCCATTATTATGAGAGAGTTTACACTGTAGAAATGCCTTTTCAGTGTTTCTTATAAGTTTAGAATATTTAGGAAATCATTTGTTTCATACACCTACACCTGGACTGGGGATGACCTGTATCCTAGGTACATGCCCTCACCCAGAATCAAATTCTCACCCTTTTCGTTACTGGATGACGCCAGTCCCACTGATCCACACTGGCCATGGCTCTCCCTCTTTTCCACCTTCCCTTTCCCCTCGAGAAATAAATAAAGGCATAAATAAATAAGTAATTTTTAAAAAACACATTCAGTGTCAGAATCAGACTACTTCGTTTAGCATTCAAGAGCATGGGTGCAAAATAATGACATTAACACACTTTGTTGGCATGTTTTACACTTTCCACAGAATAGGTACTAAAATACTCACACAAACAGTCCTCCAGCATTTTGCCCACTCACATGAATTTTGCCTAAAATACATCTTCTTTGTAGCGGCCTGGCCTTGCCACAACTGTTCTTGGCTGAGTTCACAGATCTGTTGTAACCTATAGATTCTCTGGCTCTCCTGCTAAGTTTTGTTTCCAGGCAGTGCTCAAAACCTCTGCCATGGCCATCACTGCTGCTACTGAAACCACCACAGCCCCCTTGGTTTCCTGGATTGGCCAAGTGTTGGCCTCCATCACCATAGGGGCAAGAGTTTCTGCTCCAAAGTTCCCTCCTTTCATGGGTCCAAAATTTGAAGATTGATTGTTGTAATTGCCATAATCATTGTACCTTCCACCATCTGCACACTCACTTCCATCATAACCAAATCCATTATAGCCATCCCCACTGCCACCATGTTCAGCAGCGCCACCACAGCAGCCACCAGAGCCACTGTTTCCTTCATGACCGATGTCATTTGCACTGACAATCCCCTCCATAACCACCTTTGAAGTTCCCAGAACCACTTCTACCTCTTTCGTTGTATGAATAACTAGCCAACTCTTGTTCGGATAGCACTTTTCATCCCTTCACTGTTGTGGCCTTCATAGTTTGGGACTTCTAAGTGATAACCTTGTCTACACAGACACGGTCATCAAAGGTTACAAAAGCAAAGCCTCTCTTTTTGCCACTACTTCGGTCAGTCATGACTTCAATTGATGGAATGATGTCTTGGATCAAGGTTGTCAAAAACTTTGCAATATTTTAATACATGCAGTGACCTCAGCTGGTCCAGATTAGAAAGATGCTACGAGACAGACACCTCAAAAACTAGTGCAGTCAGAAACAGAAAAAAAGGCACTTTAAATTTTTAAGTAGGAAAAGAAACTCTTACAGAATTTCTATTGATTTTAAAATTTTTATGCTGTGTATGCATACCCATTATTTTTAAAAATTTATTTAAGAATGAGAGAAAAAGAAAGAGCAACATTGATTTGTTGTTCCACTCATTTATGCATTCAGTGGTTAATTTTTACTGCCAGGCCAGGGCCCATACTTTCTTGTTTATTATAACATTTCATGTAATGTAAAAGAATTCTCAGCTAAACATAGGTCATTTTCATTATAAATACGTATTTCTTTATTTACTCAATATAACTCTTGACTATGTTTCTAATTTTATTTAATTGGCAATGCCATACTAATTGTCATCTCATTATAAATCATTATTTATGTCTGTTACTCACAATCTCTCTTTCATTATGATAATTATAATACCATTTTCACACTAACAAAAATATCAAAAACTTTGTCAGAATTTACTTCTTTCAGTTTTCCAACAATTAATTTACTTTAATATTGACAGTACAAGTAGGTTCCCATTTTTGTTTATATCATTACTTTCATTTCTTAAGGAATGCCCTATATTCCTGTGACATTTTTGTCATGTAATATGGAGTAACAAGATTACTAGTCTATTTGCCAGATTCACTAACATGGGCACAGTCCCCTTTATTGCAACATACTTCCTTAAGCTTCAGCAGATTCACTTTTATCCACAGTAAGGGAAGGCCCTCCACCAGCAAAATATTGCATGCAACTCAACAAGGGCTGACATAATGGTTTGCATTTTTCAATCAATATAGTATTTTTCAATTAAGGTATGTAACCCTAGCTGGCGTGGCACAGTGCCACCCTGTGAACCAATGGGTCGTCAGTTCAATTCCCAGTCAGGGCACATGCCTAGGTTCTTTGCTAGATCCCCAGTACTGGGCCTGTGAGAGGCAACCGCCAATTGATATTTCTCTCCCTCTTTTTCTCCCTCCCTTTCACTCTCCAAAAAAAAAATAAATAAATAAAATCCTTTATAGTACATTAAGGTATGCATATTGTTATTAATTACCTACGCTATTGCATGCTTAATAGACCACAATGTGCACTTTGTTACAAGCAAGTTAGTGTCAGTAACTTTATTAGCACTTTCGGTTATTTGGTCAGGAAACTCACGTAAACTTTCTGGGCTAAATGCTTGAAATAGCATGTCTTTGATGTCTTCAAAACATACTCCACTGTTTGAAAAAAAAAAAATGTAATTTAATTACAGTCATCAGCGGATCAAATCAGTGAGGAATCCAGTCACACTGCTGCCGAGGCCGAGCTAAGACTCCTGGTAGGATCAGGCACAGATGTGCGTTGAGTATATTTTTTACTGCATTTTACTTGCATCGTAGGTCCTACTGATGCAGGAGAGACAGTAGTAGGGACTAGAGCAAGGTCCGCCAACCACATTCGGCCTGAAGGAGGCACGTGCCCCTCAATCCAAGGCCTGAATCCAAGGCCTAGCAGGCGTTAACAGACACTTCCTTGTCCAAGAAATCATGCCCACGGGGCGGCTACAGGGCGGATTCACTATTCTCAGGGTATTTGTCGGGGTGTAAACCCGCAAATCCACTCCTCCAGTCAGCGGGCCTTGGAGTGCACAACCTACCTTACCCAGAAGGCAAGCGCCGAATGTCACAGGGCTGAGGCAACAAAGACCCCAGGAAAGGCGTTTCCGTTCGGGCCCTACTGCGGGGCGGGACTTCCGTGCGCCTCCTGGCGGGCATTTCCTCTGCTCTCTGTTCCCGTTACCACGCGGTCGGGGTGCGGTGGTCACAGAATCGAATGGTGACGGCGCCAGCGTGCCGCTCCCCACAGGAGGTGTGAGGCCAAGTCCGCTGCCGGGAGTCCGGCGTCAGGGTCGGACAGGCGCCCCCGTGCCCAGGGACGCGCTCCTCGCGCCCCGCTCCGCCCACAGAGTCCGATGGCGGCGGCCGCGCGGAGGCGCCCGCCGGAGGTGAGTGCGCGTCCCCCGACCCTCCCCCTCTCCCTGAGCCCGCCGAGCCCCGAAGCGCGGGAGCCGGGCGCCCGGCACGTCCTGCAGCCCCGGCCGCGGCCTCCGGGGTCGTTGGGCGCTCGGAGGTGGAAACGGTGTGACGCGGAGGGTGAGGGTGAGCGGCTGAGGTTCCTCCTTCTGAACACGTGCGGGAGTCGTGGACCCGGAAAGGCCCGCAGCCCTGCCTGGGCCTTCCGTCAGCTCCCAACGGTCTGAGGGGGACGCGCGTCCTGACTGGGAGCTGAGGGGTGGCACCTTCTTCCTGATGGTCTTGGGAGCCCTGGATGGTCGTGAAGCCAGAAAGAGAGGGAGTTCGTGTCATGGTTCTGAAAGCCTCTTAGGCTCCTGCTGAGATAGCAAAGCGACAGGAGTGGGGTGCTGAGGAGGACAGAGGCACAGGAAGAGGAGCCCTTGTCCAAGGCCACGGGGCGGTGAGCGGCAGCTCTGAGGAGACGCTTGTCCGGAGGTCACCAGACTCCCGGGCCGGGCCGAGATACAGCTGAGTCGTGCTTCCCAGGAGCTGAAGATGGTTGACTGCTTCTTCCCACAGGTTCTGACGTTGAACATCATTATGAAAGCAGACAAGGAAGGAAAAGGCTGTCCCGGTCACTATGGTGCGGTGACATTACCTTGTAGTGTCTAAAGACTTCTCCAGCATTGCAGTGAGGAGACCCTTGGAATACCCCAATCCTGAGTGCAGGTCACAGGTGATACCCAAGGAGCTCCCATTTGTGGTGTCAACGAAAGAAACAATCAGACCGTAGGGACTTTCTGGAGTGTTTGTTTAAGCCAAACTGAAGAGGATTTGCAGGAAACGGAATCTCAACGGACTGTGAGGATTCTTCATAAAGTGGCCGTTTCACCCATTATTTCTCACGTCAGAATCAAACTGGAAGATATATAAGTTGGGAACTTGAAATCCATTGGTGATGGGTTAGGGAGGAGGGAGAAGATAAAGCAGGAAAATCCCTGATACTAAAGAAAAGGTGAAGATGAATAGACACAGTTCTTTTACATTTCTGAGTAAAAGATAGTACCTATGTCATTAATTGCCACCATGAGATCACTGAGGGGGATTTTTGGTCTCTGCTCTCCTGCACTGTCTGTGTCCTGAGGGGTAAGAAACAAGGAAATTACCCGGCCATTCCAAAGGCGTGTTAACAAAGATGGGCTCGGTGCAGGTAAACATTGACTCTCCTCAGGAAGATAGAGGCCTAGGACATGGCTGCTAGCCATGACTCAATTTTAGTTAACAAAGTTTTAATTTCAGACCATACAGAGGGGCACTTGCGCCTCTCAGTTCATAAGGCCATCTGGGAGGACTCCTCTAAGCTGGTCAGGTTTAGTGTCTTCCCTCTGTCCTTTTTTCTCTTTTATTGGTCCACAGAGCCAGCCAGTGTAAGCATTTAAGGCAGGTCATCCTGGAAGGGACAGCTGCACCTACTGATTGTGGGCGATGCCACAGCGTTGGGAGTAGGCACCTAAGGTCTCTTTTGTTTGTGTTAAAAATAAAGTGCAAGGGGATGAAGAATCAGACTTGCAATGTGGCAGAATGATAATTTGGTATCTTTTAGGGAGGTAATGGAGCATTTGCATAAGACAAAGGAGTTGGTCTCTCCTGGGTTTAACAGGCTCCCTCTGGCTGCATAGTGCAAGACAGGTTCTGGCGGTTAATGGAGGAGGCAGGGAGCCCCGGACCAGGCGAGTTCTTTGATCCGGAGAGCCGATGGACCAGAGCTGGGCCTCAGAGGTAGGAGAAAAGATTGGATTCTCGGTGCACTTTTTATTTACTTTTTATTGTATGTTTCCCATTACCATTTGTCTCCGCCATACAATCTTCCATCTCCATTCACCGTCCTCCCCTTTACATTTTGAAGAGGGCAAGATTAGTTTTTAGATTTTGCAGCTGCAGGAAGGAAGGAAAGGGTTCAGAACCAGCCGTGTGTTTTTGGTCCTAGCAAGTGAAGCAGTGGAGGTTCCCTCAACTGGCTGGGTAAGATGGTAGTAGGTTAATTATCTTTGGGACCCTCAGAAGGTTCTTTTGGTTCACGCTTTTATAAGTTACAGATAGCACTGAGTGGAGGCGTCTTGTGGGCAGCTCAACACATGGGTTTAGAAACCTGTGGAGGGGTTGAGGACGGAGTCATGCAACAGTGGTGACTTGTGCATTAGTGTGCAGGGCACAGAGCTGAGGGAGCGCGAACTTGGGTGTGACTCTGTGAGGCAGGTAGAGATCAGACCGTGGTGTGCACAGCTAGTGGAAGTGTGAGCTGATGGCCCGGAGTCCTTGGTGTTTGGATTTACTGGAAAGCAAAGGCCGTATCTGGCTGTGTTTTGGAGGCATGCTCTGGGAGACTCCGTGGAATGGCTTAGCAGGAAGAATGGGACCCTGCGGGCACGGCCCTGAATTCAGATGGCATTTCTCTGCCCCACTTCCTCTTAGCCTGCCAGCCTGTGCTGAAGGTGGTGTGAGAGGTCAATGGGACCGGGGTGAGGCAGACAGCAGGCAGCTCTGGCACCAGGTGCTGGTGTCTTCTGTGAACAGGGGCCCTGCAGGGGGTTGGGCATGGGAAGAGTAGGACTCGGGGTGTCAGCCAGACTGTTCCAGACTCATTTTTATTGATTCTGACAGGTTGTTGTGACCTTTGAGGATGTCGCCGTGTATTTCTCCAGGAGAGAATGGCACCTGCTTGTGGAGGCTCAGAGACGCCTGTATCTCGATGTGATGCTGGAGAACTATGCTCTTCTGTCATCACTGGGTAAGACTACTGACTCTCCCTGCACACCCTTCTTTGGCTTGCCCTGTACTCCCTTTCCTCAGGGTTGCAGTTTGCTGCTTCTGCCCTAAGCTCTAAGGGTCCTGACCAGACTTGTTCCCGGGGAACGATGGGATGCAGCAACTGGTCTCAGTCTTACCCCTGATCCCATCTGCAGGGGTGTTTGTTTTTTTCCTTTTTTCCAGTTCATTGCCCCAAGTGTTAATAAACTAACTCACAGTTTCCCACAAAAAAAAAAAAAAAGACCCTCTGCCTCACCGGTGACCTGGACTAGTCTCTGCATTTCCCCCATACCCTTCATTCCTCTGGGGTTACTCTGTCCTCCCGTGTGGACTGTGGGCGCTATTTGCATCCTCAGTTGCCGGGTGGATCCTGGACTTGGCAGGGCAGGTTTTCTTGCACAGTCCTGTGCTCTCCCTGCTGTTCCGACATCCGCTCTACAGAACCCTCATAGGGGAGAGTTTGACCTCAGTAGTGGTGCCAGAAGCCTAACACATTTCACATTGAATAGTGAGAAAAAGCATGTTTTATAATCTTGAATATTTCTACGACTGTATATAGGTTTTGTCGTCACTGCGAAATATTTTTATCGATTGTTAGAGTGAGAAGGGAGGGAGAAGGGGAAACATCAATGGGCGAGAGAAGGCTCGATCGGTTTTCTCCCGTACATGCCTGTAACAGGAGATTGAACACGGAACTTATGCTTGTGCCCGCCCCAGCAGCCTTTTGCTGCACGGGGCAGCGCTGTAACTCCCTGAGCTACTTGGCCAGGACTGAATAAAATACTATGCATGTATGTATTATTTCTGTTTTCTCTTAGTGTTTTTCAAACTTCAGTAATTCCTTAGTGCTTTCAAAGTCTATGATCTACCCGTTGTTGGAAGGGGCATTTTCAAGTTTTCTATGGGTGTTGCATTGCGTTTTCCTCTTTCCAATCTCACGCTGTTTCCTTATGTACTTAGGTGCTCTGTGGTTGGGGACATAGAAATTAAAATTGGTACCCTCCTGTTCTCTTTGGAGGTATTTGCATAGACTGTTTTTTACCTCTTTTTATTTTGAGGGTCTTGTGTCCATAAAGATTTAGTGAGTGTCTTGCTACAATAGCAGCATACGTTGTATGTTGGGGACTTTTGGGGGGGTTTTCTTGGTACACAGTGTAAACACAACTAGGCCTCAATTTATTTCTTTATTTGTTTATTTAGTTCTATAATTTTTTTAATTTTTATATTCAGTTTACAAACATTCTTACATTAGTTTCATGGTGAGACATTGTATAACTTCCTAAGTGATTATCTCCATAAATCTCAGACCTGCCTGACACCTTACATAATTGCTAGAACGTGATTGACTCTCCTTCCTTGCCCCTACCCCCACGGAATGGAGGTCCCTGGACGGATTTGGGGTGGGCGACAGGAGATTGAGAAAGAGACCACGCAAAGAGTTTAAGAACAAGCCAAGGCCGGGTGGCACATTGCCCTCTGATAGAGAGACTGACCCTGAACTCGGCGTCCACGTTTATTTTATGGGGGTTGGTTAGATGCAGCTCAGGGACGTTTTTCAGGCTCAAGGATGTGGTGCTGGCAAAGATTGTTCGTTTCCCAGGCTACCTAAATGATAGGGCTTTCTTCTGCCAAGGCTGCAGTCGCATTCAGCTGAAGCTTGCAGTGAACTGTTTGCTCCTCAACCCTCGCCCCCGACAGCAGTTCTGGCTGCCCGTCACCCTTGCAGGTGCAAGCGGTCAAGCGTGGCTTCGCCAAGCACTTAACCTGGCTTTTGACATCAGCCTTCACTGTCCTCAGCGTTTCCTAGTCTGTACTTTACATCCCCATGACTATTCTGTAACTGCCATTTTGTACCTTTTAATCTCTTCGCTTTTTTCCACCCATCATGAGAATTTTTTATCCGTGTTTGTGTGAGCGAAACTGTTGAAGATGTCCAGGATGCAAGAGATCAAATGCTTTTGTGTCTTGTGTTTTTAATCCCTTCACTCACTCTATACTGCTGATTGGAGAATTCCTGAAGAACCTACTGTTGTCACCTTGTCATATTTTCTGACTCTTTTATAGTTCATTTTTTGTCTTCCTGTCTTGCTATTCGTGTGTGTGTGTGTGTATGTGAGAGAGAGAGAGACAGAGACAGAGAGTTTAGATTCCTTTGTCTTTTGTGCCTCCATTACTCAGGATTGTGCTTGTGGTTTGTTTTTTATTAGGTTACATCAAACTCACACTTTTAATAGTTTGTTGTAACCTGAAAACAGGTTCACTGCATGTAAAAATTCTACCCTTTGACTCTGCCTCATTATCCCTGTGGTATGTATCGATGTCAAAGTACACATCTTTCTATATCATGCATCTACTTGCAAATATTCTCAGCATTGTTATTCCTTTTTTTTTTTTTTTCTTTAGATTTTATGTATTTATTTTTAGACCTGGGCAAGAGAGGGAGAAAGAGAAACAACAGTGTTGGCTCCCTTTCTTGCGCCCCCTGCTGGGGCCCTGTCTCACAACTTAAGCATGTACCCTGATTGGGAATTGAACTGTAAACCCTTGACTCACAGGCCTGCGCTCAATCGACTGAGCCCCACCGGCCAGGGTTGTTAGTCTTCATGCACTTCAATTTTGTCCTATACATTAGAATTAAATAAAGCCCACTTCACGAATGAACTGTGTTAGTATTGTGAACCTGATGCTTTCCCGGCCTTACCAGACACTTTTACAGTTTCCCATGGTTTCCTGTTCCTATGTAGTATGCCTTTATTTCAGCTGAAAGATACATCTATATATATCTATAAATACATTTATGTTTCTATATATGTACATATATGTTTCTTGGCATTTCTAGTAAGACAGGGTGCATAGATAGTAATTTTTTTAACTTCTGTGTTTCCTGAAAAATTCCTTTCTTGTCATTTCTGAGGGGGAGGTTTTGGCATAACTATTGTGCTTTGCAGATGTTTTCTCTTAGTGTTTTGAATGTGTCATTTGATACTCTCCAAGGCTGCCAGTTTTCTTCAGAGAAATCTATTGCTGGCCTTATGGGAGTGTTGTCCTTACATGAGGAGTTTGTATTGCCTTTGGTCTTTCAATCTTCCTTTCCTTTCCTTTCCTTTCCTTTCCTTTCCTTTCCTTTCCTTCCCTCCTCTCCTTCCTCCTTCCTCCTCCTCTCCTCTCCCTCCCCTTCCCTTCCCCTCCCTTCCCCTCCCCGTCCCCTTCCCCTTCCCCTTCCCTTTCCCTTCCCCGTCCCCTCCCCGTCCCCTCCCCTCCCGTCCCCTCCCCTCCCCTTCCCTTCCTTCTTTCCTTTCCTTTCCTTTCTTTTCCTTTCCTTTCCTTCTTTCTTTCCTTCTTTCTTTCTTTCTTTCCTTCTTTATTGGCTTTGATTTTAGACACTTTTATTAGAAAATGTCATGCTGAAATCCTGTTTGCATTGAGTGCGTACAGGGACCTGGGAGGATCTTGAACGTGGCTATTCACATTTGTTTGTCATATTTTGAAGTCAATCTTTAGCTCATTTTTTAAAATAAATTTCTTACACTTCTCCTTTCCTTCCCATTTCTCTACCTCTCATTTTCTCTCTCTTTCCCCTCCTATGGCACTCCATAATGCAAATATAGGGTATCTACGCTGTGCCAAAATTACGTAGGCTGTGCTCGCATTTTCTTTCTTCCATGGAGGATTTTAAATCACCTGACTCTGAGCTGATGTGTTCATTTGACTCCTTGATCTTGTCTGCTGTGGAAACTGTTTTGCTTATTCATTGTATTCTTCAACTTCAGGTTTCTGCTGCACTCTTTTTTATGGTTTCTCCCTGTCCGATCCCCATGTTTTGTTGCCGTATTTGTTTGTTCATTATGTTGAGTTCCATGTGTGTTCGCTTGTACCTCATTGAAGTTTTTAGAAATGATTATTTGAATTATTTTTTGGCAGTTTATATACCTCCCTGTATTGGCTTAATTCATTCTCACTTTGTGATGTTCCCGTTGTGATTTTTTTCGTATTTCCCTATGTCTTAGTGTCGATGTCTGATACTTGGTGAAACAGTTACTTTTTTGGACTTCAAGAACCAGTTCTGCTTAGAGGAGTAGTTGATCTGCATATGCATCCAGCGGTGCTTGCCAGGTGGTATACTGTATTTTGGGCTGTTGAGAAGCTTCACTTCCCTTTATTCTTGCTGCCCCATGTCCAAGATCAGCATTGTGATGATTGAAGGGAGTCCTTAGTGGCCAGGGCTGAAGGTTTGCAGATATTTAGCGATCTCTCGGAGGCTTTTGTGGCACAAAAGGTGCCACTAGAGTCAATAGTAGCACAAGCTCTGTGTCTCCGAAGACACTCTTGCTCTTATTCTTGTGTTTTGAATCTAACCCTGTTTGCTGTGCCAGTCTTCCCTGCTCTTCTTTTGTGTAGCTCTTTGTATTACGCTCTACCTTGTAGCTGTTTGAGAGAAGTGGTCTCTGAAGCCTCTTCCCCTTTCCTGGACGGATGCTGTTTATCATGGATAATTGTCTAATTCTTGAAGGGAGTTGAACACTTGGATTTTTAATTCTTCCATCTTGTGGTGGTCACTCATTAGATCTTTTTCTATTGGTTTTTTGGTGCAGAGGTATTCAAAGACAATTGTTGGTTATTCGTGTGTCATGCTTTCTCTTTGGAGTTGCATTCTCAGGATTCCACATGATTTCTCTAAGGGGAGGGAACGGAACAGTCCTTTGCGTATCCCAAGAGGGACAGGCATCCAGCCATGACAGGATGGGCTCACAGGGGGTCTGCCATTGCTGAATGGCAGTGGGGGAGAATCTGATTCCAAGTCTTGGTTAAAACAGAATGAAGGAACCTAGTCTCTTGAACCGTGTTTTTGTCACCATTGCCAGTGGCCACACTTGAATGCACTTGTCGTTTCCCAGTGTTGGGAATGGCCAGTTTGTTGCTTTTAATAATTTGTCTTTGCACTCTTGACTTCCAGTCATGGGTATTGTCTACCTCTGTAACATCTGCTCCGCAACCCTTTCCCCGAGGTGTCTTCTTGCCGTGCTCTCCCATGTTGACCCATGACTGCTGGACAGTGAAGTGTGCACATATTGTTATACAAACCCAGCCCAGCATCTGCTCTGCTGTGGTTGATTTTCATGGTTTGGGGCACTTTGGTAACCTCTCAGAAGCTGACATCACCGGCAGGAGGGGTTTTGCAGGCAGCCCCTAAGGGAGGAATTACTCGTGAAGCCAGCCTGTCTTCCTCATGTCCCACTGTGTGCTGATAGCTTTCGATAAATGAGTTGCTTATTATTACAGCCCTGAGGGCCTTGTTATGAGTCATTTGTCTTGGAAATCATCACACAGCATCATGCCAGACAGTACAGATGCAAATTACCGATGAGAGAGCCCTTTCCCTGTAGGTGAGTATGTATTTCAGTTGCGTTTCTTTTTCTTCAGGTTGCTGCTGTGAACAAGAGGATGTGGAGGCACCCCGTGAAAAAAATATTACTCTAGGAATCTCAAAGGCTCTGAATCTGAGGTCAGCACTGCCTTCCCAGACGAGTCACCCCTGTGAAAGTTGTGGGCATGTCTTGAGAGACATTTTCCTCTTAGTTGACCAGCAGGGAACCCAACAGAGTACAGTACTGCTGCAGTGCGGGGCATGTGCAAAACCATTTTATTTCAGTGCACAGAGTCGCCAGCAACAGCAGCAGGACACAAGAAAGAACTCTTTCAGAAGCTGTGTTAACAGAGTCTCAGTTGCAAAAAGATGCAATTTCCATGTATTGTGGAAGCCTTCTACCTCTAGTCAGGTTGGAAAATGCTTCGTCGCCAGCACCAGACATCGTGAGCAGCAGGGTGCTAATGCCATGCATAGGCAAAATGAAATCTCCAAGTCTGGAATGAGTTTTAAAACTGCAAATTTTTCTATTCGAAGAGAACGCAAGAGAGCCATTGGCTGTGATGACACACTTGTTGAGGACCAGAGATTCCTTGTGGGAGGAGAATCTTTTTCGTGTTGTGAATGTGGGAGGTCTTTTACCAGAATTTCTGCCCTTGGTGTTCATCAGAGAGTTCACACTGGAGAAAGGCCTTATAAGTGTGGCCAATGTGGGAAAACTTACACCTATCAAAGTGGCCTTCGTTACCATCAGAAAGCTCACACTGGAGAGAGGCCTTATGAGTGCACTGAGTGTGGGAAATCATTTAAGGAAAAGACTATCCTTATTCGCCATCAGAGTGTTCACACAGGAGAAAGGCCTTATAAGTGTGGTGAATGTGGTAAATCTTACTCCCGTCAAAGTTTTCTCTATTATCATCAGAGAGCTCACACTGGAGAAAGGCCTTATGAGTGCACTGAATGTGGGAAATCATTTAAGGAAAAAAGTTCCTTTCTTTGTCATCAGCGAGTTCACACTGGAGAAAAGCCTTATAAGTGTGGTGAATGTGGGAAATCTTATGCAGGTTGGTCTGGTCTCCATCAACATCAGAGAGTTCACACTGGGGAAAGTCCTTATAAGTGTGAAGAATGTGGGAAGTCTTACACCAATCAAAGTGGTCTCCATTATCATCAGAAAGCTCACACTGGAGAAAGGCCTTATGAGTGCACTCAATGTGGGAAATCATTTAAGGGAAGGACAAGCTTTATTCGTCATCAGAACGTTCACACTGGAGAAAGGCCTTATGAATGCAGTGAATGTGGGAAATCTTTTAAGAGGAAATATAACCTTCATTGTCATCAGAGTTTACACTGGAAAATAGCCTAGTGAGTGTAGTTAACATAGGAACTTTTGTACCTCTAACTCTCCCTTCCATTTTCATCAAAGTGTTCACACTGGATAAAGTACTTCAGTGCACTAAATTGGGAAATCCTTTTTATATACCACTTACCTTTACCTCCATTGCCATGACAGAGTTCACACCAAAGAAAGGCTTATGAGTGTGGTGAATGTGGGAAATCTTTTACCTGTTGCTTTAACTATCATGTTACAGAGGCTACACACAGGAGCAAACTTTTATGGCTGAAGGGAATGTGGGCAGTGTTATTCTGTCAGTAACCTTCGTTATCCTTGGAGACTTCACTGTGGAAAAATGCCTCAGGGGTGCGTTGGAGGTGGGAAATCCTTTTTTCTTTAGCAGTCTACTCTGTTGTCATCAGAGAGTTCACCTGGAGAATGGTCTTGTACCTTCTGTGAATTTATGAAATGTTTTTCTTCTATCAGTGATTTCCCCTACTAAGACAGTTTATTCTGTTGAAATGAAATTGGAGTGATGTTGAATGTCAGAAATGTTTTTACATTTCCCCACTCTAGCAAAATGTTGATATGTTTAATTGTTATACTTTTTTCTTATAACAGTTTTTTTCTTTATTTCTCATGTTGTTTGTGTTATTATACTTGCATTTCTTTTAGGATTCCTGATGAGCATTTTTCAGGAGTGTATGTAATGGGGATAGGTCTTTAGTATATTCCGTGCTCACATACTATTCTCTTATGATTTTGGGCTACTTCTTTAAACAATAGGAGAGTCAAACAAGCAAAAAGGACATTGTAGTGTCGCCCATTTTCATCCCTTGAATAACAGTTGGTTCATGGAATAACTTTTTAATAGTGGAAAACATATTCAGAATATTTGGATTTTATTTTCTGTACACAATGTAGCAGGTACATATCATATCCTTTAAAGAATCATCTGCCTTATTAACACACTTCATCGCTTCTGTAAATGCAAACATTAAATAAGATAATAATTTTTGCTTTTTAGTTTAGTTTTCACCCTTTCTGCGGTCTTTCATCTGGGGTTGCTGGACTACAGTGGGACTTGAAAGTGCTCCAGGCACTAAGCAATGAATGGCTATGTGTTGAGTCTGCTAGCTCTCCCAGAAGCAAAAGACAATAGAAGAGTGATTAGACTCCCCATATCTTGGCCGTGCAACCTGGATCTAAGTCTTAGATTATTGACCAAAGTTACGGTTACAGGAAAGCGATTCACCCTGTAGGCCTCAGTATTTTCCTGTGTAAATACGGGAAAAAAGCAACCTTGCCCTGGGTTGAGTGGCACAGTGGGTTGAATGCCGTCCTGCAAACCGAAAGGTCACGTGGCCAGTCCCTGGTCAGGGCACATGACTATGTTTTGGTCCAGTTCCCAAGTTACAGGAGTGAGAGAGGCAAACAATGAATGTTTTTTTGCACTTCGAATTTCTCTCTTTCTCCCTTCCTTACCCTTCCTAAAAACGAGAGAATAAAATATTTTTAAGAAAGAGCAGCCTTCCTCCCTGAATGACAATTTCCCAGGGCTTGCTTTCTGAGAATCCTTATTTTTTTCAATCGTAACAGCACACAGGGAAGTAGTAACTGTTACTGTATTCTGGGCAAAATAGGATTGAGAAGAGGAAGCGGTTTTTCCAAGGACACAGAACAGACAAGTGGCCAGATTTGAACCCGTGAGTCTGGCTCCAGAGCTGGGGACATTCTCTACCCGATAGCACATTAGGCCCTCAGCACAAGGCAAGAGGACAGCAGGGGCCACGGACATGAGAAACATCTAGCTGCTGTTTTCACTGTCGTCTTTATCCTGAGTTTTCCGCACTTTTCTGGTGTCTTTGAGTGCTTAACATCTGCCTCATAGTCTTCATGGGAACCCTGTCTGTGATTTCCTGCAGTCTGTGCAGGCGAAATGACTACGCTGTAGCTACATTTGTCTACCTCCTTTTTGAGCTTAGCACGCAGCTCAGCACTAATGAGACCCCAGTGATTCACGGCTGAGTCTGGACATTCAGTTATCTTTTGCACGACAGGCTAGGTATTACCCAGTGTGTAAATATCATCCACTCCATTAAGCCTTCAAGTGTGTTTTTGTAAATGTCGCTGGCGTCCTCCCTGCAGTACTGAGAACACGCGTACATGATCCCTGGGATGTATTCAGAAGTGATGCGGGAGACGTACAGCACGGTTATCTCCCCAGTGGGGTGTTTACTTCTTCACACAGGAAGCTGTCCTCTCGATCCTATACTCCAGGGGAGTCCTGCTGGCGGCCCTCTAGCTGCTTGCAGCCCTGGATGGTCATGAATGCGACCCAAGACAGAATCGTCAGTTTACTGAAAACACTATGAGACTTTTTTGTGATCACCTGTTGTAATGAATTTAATGTGTATCCCAAGATCCCTTCTCCCAGTGCACCCAGAGGCGCAAAAAGTTAGGCGCCCCACCTGCTCTGTCAGGTACTGGCTGGATGAGGAAATGGGCTCACCGTGTTTCCTCTGCAGCCCTTACAATGTTCAGCAACCACATCTCCCTCCCAGCTCCCCATGTCTGCACCAGAGATGTTTTGGTGTGTGCAAGTCCTCATGAACAAACAGATTCTTAGTCCTAGCTCAAGGATTGCTCGAGACGGGCCAATCAGCCAAATCGGGTGGGGTGTATGTCTGCATGGCCCTGTTAGCACTGTTAAGGCTGACTGCTTTTTCAGAGAACAGGAAGAGTCTGCCGCATCCTTGGTGATGCTTGCAATCTCAGCTTCTGCTGTGCTCCTAAACAAGACATTCCATTTAAAGGCCCCAGGTGACATGTGTAGACACTCTGAAAATCGGCCCCTTTCCCCTTGTTCTTTCCTCTTCACTGCCATCATTAGAATGCTTTCGTGCTGAATCTCTAAAGCTCTTCTGAGCGTTCCTGATTATCCACTTTCAACACGGAGCAGCTCTCGGCAGCCCTTGTGAGCACGTGGGGCTTGAACGCTATTTTGATGCCATTGCTTTTGCACAGGAACCTATCACTACTCATAAGCCACACTGATTATCCCAGTTATTGGAGAGACACAAGTGCACCTAAGGATGCAGTGTTTACAACAAAAATTGTGTAGGTCGTGTTAAAGAGAATAAGAACTGGGTAGAGCTATGCTCCCCTAAGCAAGCAGAGGTCAGGTGTCAGGTCATTTGCAGGCACAGTTGAATGTCCTATTGAACTCTAATCACAGACCTTAGGTTTCTATTTCTTTACATTCTCGTTTGTTGCTACTTTTATGGCCTTTTCTTGACATGTTTTTCAGGTGTGCCCTGGTGTCTCAATAGTGCAGAAAGTTTTTATTATTTTTATGTATATTTTAGTGATTATTTTATTACAGTTGTTCCAATTTTCTCCCTGTAGCCCACTGTGTCCAGTGCCCTTTCCAACCAGCAATCCCTCCCCCTTAGTTCCTGTGCATAGGTCATGTATAAATCTCTGGCTTTTCCATTTTCTATACCATTGTTAACTTCCTTCTGTGTATTTTGTACCTACCAATTATGCTTTTGAATCTCTGCATGTTTTCTCCCCATTTTCCCCTTCCCCCTCCCATCTGATATCCCTCCAAATTATCTCCATCGATATGGTTCTGGTTGTTTACTTGGTTTTTTGTTTTTTAGCTTCAGTTATGATGATTCTGAAATTGTTGCCTTTTTAATAATCATAGTTTTGGTCTTCTTGATCTTCAATTAGTAACTTTAACACTTCATGTAATACTGGCTTACTTATGACAAACTCCATAAGCTTTACTCTGTCTGGGAAGCAATTTATCAGACCTTGTATTCTAAATGACACCCTGCCGCATACATTAATCCAGATTGTAGGTCCTTGGGTTTTGTCTCTGAAATCCTCTTGCCAGTATCCTCTTGCCTGCAAAGTTTATTTTGAGAAACCATCTGATTGTCTTAAGGGTACTCCTTTGTAGTTAACTCTTTTCTTTTCTCTTGCTGCTTTTCAGTGTCTGTCTTTATCTTTTGGCATTTTAATTACGATGTGTCTTGGTGTGGTCTCCTGTGGGTCCAGCTTGTTTTGGGACTCCATGTGCTTCCTGAACTTCTCTGTTACCTTCACCAAACTAAGGAAATTTTCTTCCATTATAAGTTACTAGTAAGTTTTCAAATTCTTGCTCTTCCTCTTCTCTTTCTGGCCTCCCTGTTATTCAGATGTTGGCATGATTGGATATGCCTGAGAGACTTCTAACAGAATCCTTGTTTTTTTTGAACTCTTTGTTTCTTCTTTATATCCTGGTTGAATATTTGTTTCTTCCTTGTGCTCCAAATCCTTGATTTGGATCCCAGCTTTCTTCCCTGCACTGTTGGTTCCTTGCTGATTTTTTTGTATTTCTCTTCGTGTAGCCATCATTTCTTCCTTTGTGTTGTTGCTGTACTCAGTGAGTTCTTTAGCATTTTGATTACCAATGTACTGAACTCTGTATATGACAGGTCTACTATCTCCATTTCATTTAGTTCTTTTTTCTGGTGTTGTGTTCTCTTCTTTCTTTTGGGCCATATTTCTTTTTCTCCTGAATTTGGCAGTGTCCCTGTGTTTGTTTTTGTGTATTAGGTGGAGCTGTTTTGAGTCTCTGTAAAAGGCCCCCATCAGGATGAGTGTGGCTTCTTTAAGTCCTTGGTTGTTGGACTTCCATACAGCTCAATTTCCTGACAGTTGATGTTTTTATTGGTTTTGAGATCTAGTTGTAATTCTTTTTGTGGTTGCATGAAAAGCAAAGCATGTCTACCTATGCCTCCATCTTGACCTGAAGTCTCATTAGTTCTTTATTGCTTTCGGTACATGTACCCATTGTTAGAAGGGCAATATTTAAGTTGTTTACTATCGTTGTGTTGCATTTTCTGTCTTCAGCTCTTACATAGAAACTGCTTCCTCCTCAGTTCAGGACATCTCGAGCACCTGGCCACTGACTCCACGCAGAGAACAAAGGAAATCTCTAAGTTAGAATGACTTTCCAAAGTATACAGTATTATTAC